AGTTGGGGCAAATTTTTTCCACCCAGTTGGGGCCAATTTTTCCCACCCTAGTTTTTTTTCCACCCTTGGGGCAATTTTTTTTTCCCACCCCAGTTGGACATTTTTTTTTCCACCCCAGTTGGGGCAATTTTTTCCACCTTCCACTTACTTGGGCAATTTTTTGCACCCTTTTTTGCACCCTATTTTGGGCAATTTTTTCCCACCCCAGCAATTTTTTTTGCACTCTAGTTGGAGCAATTTTTTTGCACTCAGTTGGGGTAATTTTTTTACATTTACATTAATAATTTATTTATCATTTATTTAATTATCCGTTTTAATTCTAAAAATAAAATTGAAAAGCAAAAGAGAAAAACATATAAAAATAATCTTATTATTATATTTAACTATCCGTTTTAATCTTCTTTTATTGAAACTCCAATTCCGAACAATATATGTAAGAATAATTAATCTTGTTATTATATTTAATTATCCGTTTTTATCTTCTTTTATTGAAACTCCAATTCCGAACAATGTATGTATTAGAATTCGTCTATTTGCATTAATAATTTAGCATTTATTTAATTATCCGTTTTAATTCGCATTTAACATTATTATTTATTAGTAGCGTCTCGCCCTAGCAGTGAACTTGCTTCACGCATGCGCAGTGACAAGCTTCGGTGGCGTTATTGGCTGCTGTCCGTTATACAGGATTGGCGATGCATCATCAGATCAGCTGAAGACATGTTATTCCACTAAATTCCACGTTGCAGAAGTTAAGCCTGAATAAGAAGTTTGAAGTTAGTTATGGTGTTACTGATTTTTTTATATTTAGCGTCATTAGTATGGAAGGTAACATCTACAAAGGCAGAATTGCGTTTACGCGTGCGCGTAAGACCTTTACGGCTACGAATATGAGTGTGCGCATGCGCGTTTAATGTATAACGGACGGTATAAATTATCTAATTCAGTTAATGTTGCAGATTGCGTTGTTCCTTAATCTTCGAATTGGATCCGGCTTATTATTTTGCAGACTGTTAGAGCAATTTTATAAAAGTAAGCTTGAACTTTCGATTATGTCAAATAGAATTTCCGATATATATTTACTAATATGTAAAGAATCTACAAAGCGAAAGTACGTTTCGAAATCCATTAACAGAAGTGGAACAGAAAGTGGAATTGCTGCAAAAAATGGATAAAGGCATATCCTTTGATTATCTAATCATTCCGAAATATGTTTATCAATTTCACTCTACTCTGCTGTGGGAGGGAAACGACGCGGCGCGCAATGAATTGGAAGTTGATCTGTCAGCACTATCCTTATCTTCAGGGCAGATGTTTTTCATTTTATTTGGCTTATAATTCCCTACTAAATGTAGTATTTCATCTCGATGTACTCCGTCTTTGATATGATTTAAATAAAGTTCGACGTCATTATAATTCGTTTCCGATAGTGAAGAAAGTGACGCAGAGTTTATTGAAAACGAAAATTATAGACAGCAATTATTGACAGCAATTATAGGACTTGAACAGCGGAACTTTGTAACTAAACAAGAAATTATGTCTGTTTAATAGAATTAAAGAGAAAGTATAGTCACATGAAACGAAGCAACTTAAACAACTTACATTGAAAGAAATGTTTAATAAAGTAAACAAATGTATTTCCACATTTGTATGGTTTGAGTCACTATAACTAAAGAGTTCTGCGAATTTGTAGATGTAGAATGTGAAAAAGGATCTTCAACATAACAACAACCGTTTTCTTTTACTACTTCCAACTATTGCAAAATTCTTGAAATCTACAAAGGACTGAAATCTTATTTTATTTCACAAGAACACCTTGCAGAGATGACAATGATTGTAGTGAAATGTACTATTTGTGGTTTGTGCAAAGGCAACTTAAATTATTTAACAAAATTATCTATTAAGGAAAGTACAAAAGCAACTGCAACTGATATTGCCAATGAAATTGAAATGTAGAATTTTAGAATACTACAAAATGATGAATTATTAATCGTACAAAAGTTTACATTTTATGATAGATGTTTTGCTTACACTGAGCTATGAGACAACAGTTTTGGCGGAGCTGACTCTTTTATTTATATAAACAACAGTGAATTAACACGATATCAAACTGAAGCTTCAGATTAAAAAAAATTAATGAAAATGTCGCACATTATACAATTAACACGGATCTATTTTTCGAAGAATTAATGATTTCAAAAGCTTTTTGGTGAGCCAATTATAAAATGCATATTTATGGATACATGTTTTCAGTCGTTTCATTGAAAAATACACTTCATTGCTCAGTTCCATTCAAATAATAGAATACATTTCCAAGGATGCCAAACACATCCACACCAGTCCAAAGAGTATTCTCATTAATGAACGTGATATGGTTTGCAGAAAGAAGTAAAATGGCTGAACCAAAGGTTGTAGTAAGCTGCAACATTAATAGTGAACAAAAACTGCAGTGAATTTTTCGATGCCATTAAAAATAACAAAGAATTTTTAAAGAAATTTCACACTAGTGAAAAACACGACTGAATGAGGTATGTTGAATCACCAGAAATTTATTTTAACTCATTGCTAATTTTTTGTTAACAACTTCTTTACCTGAAAGTAATACCTATACTTTTTGAATTACTACTAAGGTAAGATAATGTAATCAATATGAAAAGAAAGGACCACAGTATGTTATTTTGCTGAATGCCTGTTAAAAGATGAACTTTTATGATAAATGAGATTAAATTAATTATGTTAAGCTCTCAAGAATTATTTGCCAAGATCTTTTATGATACCTGTAAATATGAAATAAAAAAATTGTAAAATGAGGTTAAATTAATTGATTATGTCAAAGGACTGGAGAGTTATTTGCTTAGGATGAGACATGCCTTTAAGGAAAGCATGAATTTAAAAAAAAAATGTTGATAACGGTATAATATAAGATGAAATATAAAACAAATAATATAAGATGAAATATAAAACAAAAATACATTTGGAAATAAATGTAAAATACGGTTAACTGATTATTGCATGATACAAAAACACATGTAATTGCTACAACATTAATTTAGGCAACTCGAAAACATCATCAACACAAGCGAAAAAAAGATAACGTCTATTTCCCTATACGGTTTTTAAGTCCCCAGTAAATAAATTCTCATATATTTGTGCACAATGCGCACCCCGTATGTTTTTTTAAGCACCTAGCAAAGAAATGCTCGCATAATTGGGCACAAAGTGACGGAATTTCACGCATTCCACAACACTTCACTCAATTCTTTGACTTGACTTACGAATCATAGAAATCTCAAATCATCGCCAAGCCAAACATACATAGATGTTCTTCGTTCGGCCAAGCGACGAAGGTTACCATGCTGAAAATATGCCTATTGCGCATATGGTAAAATGGTCACGTTATCCACGCAGCAGAAGCGAAGTAAAATGGTCACGTGACCTTCAATATGAGCCCTCAGAAGTTTTCCCTAAATCCCTCCCGTTACTCCGGATTCTACAGTAACCTAAGGCTCCTATAGAGCCTTACAGTAACCTAAACGTCAGCAGAAAGTTGTCGGGGTCGGTAGCCGGGTTTGGCGGTGATCTCCCCCACCGGCCGCCGTAGCCAGGTCGCCAAGAGCGAAAACTGCCAAATATTCCAAATATCCGAAAACTGCCAAATATTCTTACACATATATATATTTTTTAGACCAAAGGGGCAATTTGCCCAGAAGGGCTATTAATTTCATTTTGGCATTTTGCGTTGGTTCACTATAAACGGTGTTTCACTTTTCGAATTTTTGCCCCAAAATTTGCCCAAGGCCTTGTATTACATTCAAAGAAATTAAATAATGAGGAATCTGCATGTTTCTCGTACTGTGAAAAAAGAATGGTACCTACAGACATCAAATTTTGAATAGCGTAGTCCTCCACTCGAATATGGACATCTGGAGGCCCAAATTTGGAATTTTTTTATTATCTACTTCATATTTTGTAAAACTTTAACGGATTTTTGATTCACAAACTCAATGATTTCAAAGAAAGCAATGGCAATACTCTATACGGGGGGGGGACATTTTGATCTCCAGCGTACAAGATTGTATATTGGAAATTCTGAATATATGCTCTTTTTGCCTTACTCCATCTATCTAACCTCCGTGTTCGCACCTAAACTTGATTTTTCCTCCTGTGGCCAGAAAGACTTATAGTGGGTGCCAAACAACACGTCTGTCTGTCTACGCTCTCAGTTTTTCATTATATCGTCAGCTTTCAGCTATATCTGAATTCGGTCCTGATAACAGAACAACACCAAATAGAGGTGCTCATTTCCGTCGTAGCTACTGTATGACCTTAGGACCTGCTGTATGTAGGGTTTAAGTTGTTAAGTTGCTAAAATAGTTGTTATGTTACTCCAATGTCGGGTCCAATCCGTCATTAGACGTTGACCACTGCTAAAACCAGAAGCGGTGGTTAATTTATTATGGAGGCAACAAATAAGTGGGCTCCCGCCTTTGTTCCTGTTTCAAATTAATCAATTTCTGAACTTATTTTAATAACTTCGGACGAATGGAAATATATTTCGCAAAGAAAACCTTTTTAATTAACAACAAACCTCTTTATTTAGAATTCTAAACATATATATATATATATATATATATATATAAATATAGATAATATATATAGGTAATCCGCATGCGTTAAGCACGCTGAGACAGAAAAGCATATGCTAAACAGAAACATATGTAAACAAAACATCACTGTTGCCATAAAAATTCTACCTTATAATGAACTTATTAAATTATTAATCCAAAGGGGCTTAAGGACAATTGTTTTCGTTTTGCGATTTTGCGTTGAATCACTATAAATGTCCGTTTCACTTTTCAAACTGTTGCCACCAAATGTTAGAGTCTTGCATTATATTTGAAGAAATTAAATAATGAAAAATTCGAGTGGCTCCTAAACACTATACCATCTGGGGGGGCAAAATCTTTTTATTATAAATTAATTTTAATAGAAAAGTTATTTTAACATATGTGGGTTTAAGAAAGAGCAGCGAAAATTTCCCAAAAACCCAAGAACATGAATTTTGGCAGCATAGTTTTGTCAAAAATTGCGCGATTTGGCAACACTGCGTTGCAACGTAAAGCTGATTCGCTGGTTCTGGTAGCGCCAAAGAACAAATGCGTAGTTTACTGTGTGCTTTGGTTTTTAAAAGTTCCGAGACTTGAATGGATATGGAAGCGGTTGATGAAGAAGAACGCTTCAAAAGGCTTGCTTTGTATGTATTCACTTATATATATTTTTTTCATACATTTAAATAAAATCAGGAAGCTAAAACAAAGTTAAAACTATCATGGTAACCAGAAGTGAGGTTTCATCGCCAAAATTTTTAAAAAATTGTCGCGAAGCGAAGGGGCACTCAATTCTACACTAGAGCGAAAATATTTATATTCGTGATCCATTTGTACATAGAAATTCAGTATACAAGTAAAGTAAAATGTTTGATATCCAAATGTAATCTAATATGTGTAGTTTCCTAAAAAAGTGCCAGAATATTTAAATGTGCGAAACTAAAAGTATAAAATGTTAGTTTCCTTGAATTATGCGTTTTCTTAGTCTTCATTTTATAATAAATCCAGATGTAAAGTATAAGTTCAAAAATAGGCTGATCGTATTTTCTTCATATCACAGTTAAGTTGACCATTATTCGGCTGATCTTTAGAATATGGTAACTGGTAGTTTAGCGACATTTTGCAGGTGATAAAGGTTACTACCTGGGACTTTGGTAATAATGTGAGCAGTACTCAGTTCCGATTACGCATTATTTTGTCTGAGGGAAATGAGAGATCGTGGGATATGTCATGTGATATTAATGGACGAATTACGGTTCTTTAATCGGAAAAGGGGGGAAAAAATCTGGAAATTTTGTATTTGGCTTTATTCTGTGTTGTGTTAAACAGTGTTCCTTAATTTAGAGGTAAAAGTTTTTGGATATTTTATTTATTTTATACGTGGAAATGTTCATGTTTGGAAAGGGTATATACTTTTTCGCTATCAGGTAATTTCATATATGTTCTTTTTACCGGGTTTAAAGATTCAGAAAATTGTCATGTATTTTTGTGAAATTTTTCTAATTTATGAGAAAAAAGTAGTGTACATGGATATAGTTAAGAGTGTGCACAATGCCATTTTTGTGTAATTCTGGGATGTTTTTTTAAGTAAAAATAAGTCGACGTGTACATGGTTTATGTGTATGTGTTATTTTGAAAAACGCGTAAGGAGTATGGTATTGTGCACTTTTTCCCAATTTTGCAGTGAATATTTGTCATGATTAAGCAGTTTTGTTAGATAAAATTTCTAGCATAAGTGTAATTTGGCTATTAGATTGTTGGAAGAACTGTTCAGTAGATAAAAAGAAAAGAAACATGGGTATCCATGTACCACCAAGTTTCGCCAAGGGGTACCCTAAACTATACTTTTACTGCATTGTCATCACAATGAAAAACAGCTGATCTTTGAAATATGGTAACAGGTAGTTTGGCGACATTTTGGAGGCGATAAAGGTTACTACCTAGGACTTTGGGAATAATGTGAAAAGTTTTCAGTTCCGATTACGCATTATTTTGTGTGAGAGAAATGAGAGATCATGAGATATGTCATGTGACATTAATGGACGAATGACTGTGTCTTTAATCGGAGAAGGGGGTATATTGTAAAAATATCTGCTGTACTTTATAGGAGTAGTTTCATTCTATGTTCTGTGAAACAGTGTTGTTTAATATTTGGATTCCATGGCCGTATATAAAGTAAATCCGAAATTTTTATTACGTTTATGTGTAATTGAAAAGAATTGCTTAATTGCGGATAAGTATGAATGTCCAATATGTGGGAATGAAATGAGATTGTGTGAAAGGAAGGATATTACAGATAGTTTGAATGGCGGTGCAAGAAACCTGGTGAAAATGGACATTTTGTGATCCGCCATGCACTCAAGATTCTGTAGAAGATTAGGTAAGTTAGTATTTTTAATTATTTGAAGTTATTATTTTTATGCATTGTTCTAACTGTAAGGAGTAAATAAATTAATATGGTATTATTGGAAAATTGTTATTAGCACTGATTTAGTTTAAAGTAATTAGGATTGTAAGCTAATTTTTATTAATTTAATGTATGTGCTTATTTATATTTCAAGTAGTGTTTTTTAATTTAATTATATTTTAATTTAATGATCGTGATTTTGAGAGTTATATGTTTGTAGTATTTTGGAATATGTTTGAGTAGAAGTAAATGTGCATGGAAAGAATTTAAGTATTTGACACTAACTATTTGTAATCATTTTTAATGTTTTGTTATAAATTCATTGGTGATGTTTATAATAGATAATTTAGAGGTAAAAGTTTTTGGATATTTTATTTATTTTATACGTGCAAATGTCTATCCTTGGTATATACTTTTTCGCGATCAGGTAATTTCATATATGTCCTTTTTACCAAATTTAAAGATTCACAAAATTTTCATGCATTTTCGTGAAATTTTTCTAATTTATGAGAAAAAAGCAGTGTACGTGTATATAGTGAAGGGTGTGCGCAATGCCATTTTTGTGCAATTCTGGGATTTTTTTTAAGTAAAAATAAGTCGACGTGTACATGGTTTAGTTATATTTTAATTAAATGATAGTTATTTTGTGACTTTTATGTTTGTAGGAATTTGGTATACGTTTCAGTTGAAGTAAACGTGTATGAAAATAATTTAAATATTTGACACTAAGTATTTGTAACTATTTTTAATGTTTGCGTATAAATTCGTTGGTGACGTTCATAATATAATAGATAATTTAGAGGTAAAAGCTTTTGGATATTTTATTTATTTTATACGTGGAAATGTTCATTCTTGGAAAGGGTATATACTTTTTCACGATCAGGTAATTTCATATATGTGCTTTTTACCGGATTTAAAGATTCACAAAATTTTAATGCATTTTCGTGAAATTTTCTAATTTATGACAAAAAAGCAGTGTACATGGATATAGTGAAGAGTGTGCGCAATGCCATTTTTGTGCAATTCTGGGATGTTTTTTTAAGTAAAAATAAGTCGACGTGTAAATGGTTTATATGTATGTGCTATTCTGAAAAACGCGCAAGGAGTTTGCGATTGTGCACGTTTTCCCAATTTTGCAGTTAATATTTGTCATGATTAAGCAGTTTTGTTACATAAAATTTCTAGCATAAGTGTAATTCGGCTAGTAGATTGTTGGAAAAAGTGTTGAGTAAATAATAAGAAAAGAAACATGTCTTTACTTTACTTCGTGAAGACAAAATGGCGGCGGGGGAAAAAAAAAAATAGAGGGTTGCTGTAGCAGAGTTGGTCACCAAATTTTCGCCAAGTTACCATAATCCAAAGATCAACCTGAAAAACTTCTTTTATATCATCCTCATTTTTTTACACCTTATCCACATTTCTTTATAAAATCCGTTAATTGGAAAATTTTACCTTTGTTTTCCTGGCTCTAGTGTAGAATTGGGTGCCCCTTCGATTGGCGACAATTTTTTTAAAATTTTGGCCGTGAAACCTCACTTCTGGTTACCACGATAGTTTAAACTTTGTTTTAACTTCCCGATTTTATTTAAATGAAAATAGATTGATGTGTACATGGACATATTTAAGGCAGTGCGCAATGTTTAGTTTGTGCAATTTTAGGATGTTTTTTCAAGTAAAAACAGATCGATGTGTACATGGACACAGATCTTGTGCAGCTCTTTGACTTCTTATTTTGGTTTTGGCCAACCAGCGGCCGAGCGGTAGAGTCGCTGAACACTGGTAGTTCGATCCGAGGTTCAAATCCCACGAACGGGCTGGCTGCATGTGTGTTTTCGTCGTTTTCCCCATGTGTAACGTGTATACGAGCCAGTTTTCCTTAGAAAGTCCTCCATGAAGGCATCCCTCCCCTTAGGCAGATAGCCCTCGAGACTTTGCCATAATTAAATTACTTAACCAAACCTAACCTTATCATGGTTTTTGTAGCGGCCATCTTGAAATTGTGTCTTCCTGGCGTTGATCTTGGCGTCAAGAAAGAATCGCCAATAAACAAGGGGCACCCAATTGTAAACTTTTACCGTTTTGCTATATCTGAAAACCTTGAAAATTAGTGGCTATCATCATCAAATTTAGCTATCCTTCACTGTACATATTTGGCTATGCATCATGAGCTTGGCGACTAACGACAAATTGTTCCGTTAAATTTTATCTTTCTTCTATTGCGCGCTGAGACAATTATGCCTGAATTATATTAGTTTTGTTATATATTATACTTATGTCTATTTCTTGCACGTCCTTAAGGCTTATTATAGTTCTGAATAAATAAATTCCCACATGCATTTAAGCCTTACTGAGGGCCGGCGCCGGATATCTTACTGCCTTGATGCAGTCTCTGTGGGTCCTAAATTCTCCAAGTCTGTGTGGCCATCCGACCCCTGGCGCTGGTTTTGGGTTTATGTGAATAACAAATCAGGGTACTTTTCCGTTTCGCCGGCGCAAATCTCGCCAAGTAGTCTTTATTGGCGACAACATACAGTATACACATAAAAAATGTTAAAAAAAATGTTAGTTCTAAGAATTCTTTTTTTTGAAGACATAAACATTTTAATATCGCTTTTAAAATTTTATAAAAGCCAATAAATAAAGACAATAAATTTGTAAAAAACACATTAATTTAAGAATTTACTATGCTTTCACGGTTCAACATTCTGATTCGCCGGTTTATATCACGTGACCCCAAGCGATCTCATCTCACGTAAACTACTCTACAAAAATCTAATGCTCTCAGTAATTATCTACATTAATTTCAAGTTAAATCTTAATTTGGAACACAAGTTTAAATGCAAGAAATATTTCAATTCGTGCGAATAGCTTACTCAGAAATTATGTAAAACTGCAGTGCTTTACTTTGCTAATGCATTCTCGTTAGAATTGATGAATTTAACCCTTGACTTTACCTTTTCTATATTTTCGGCTTCGGGTAAGCACTGTGATTGCATCCTAATTAACTTTATTACCGAAAATGGCCTTAGACATAAAACTGAACTATCTGATAAAAATTCTATGTAATTATATGCCAGTATTGAAAGAAACAATCAATCTGATAAGAAAAAGCTGCGACTTGTTTTGAAAATGAGGCTTAAAAGGTTACCAGCGAGAATGTTCCGTTTGGCATCGGTTGTACCATTATTGGCGACTTTATCGCTTGCGCCGGCAAAACGGAAAAGTACCCAAATCAGTTAT